CTTTCAATGGAAGCTCGTAGCAGCAGAAGGTGCACGCAAGCAGACGCATGAGCTCGCAGAGCAGCAATGCAGGGGAAGTTGCTTTTGCTGTGCCAAAAACATCCACCATTTTTTTGCGGGGTCCCCTAAAAGACACACCTACCCCTTTAAAAGGGGAAACCTTCCACAAAACCTAGCGCCAACTGGTGCGGAAGTCTTCAGCGAATCGACTCCAGGCCTTGTTGGGAAAATCCAGTTGACCCCAACTTCGTGGGGGATACAACATGCCTGAATCGGATTCGCGTGCGAAAAGGGACCCGTATCATATCCACATCTCCGAATGTATGACAGGCGCAAAGGCCCCCAATTCAGACTAATTAAGACCCCTTTGTGCGTGGCAGGGGACACATATCTATATATATATAATGTATATATATATATATATTGAAAGGCAGGGGTCATTTTTTGTCCCGTGTTCGGGTCGGGATCCTTTGAGAGTGCAGGTTAACTCACCAAAACGAGACGAGTTGCGGTCAATGGTACTTGGTGTGCAGACTTTGTTGCTGTCATTTTACCATCGCTGATTCACTTATCCACTTTCTCAGATCAAGGAAGCAGAGGCGCAACAAGCGGAGGTGATGATCACCCACAACTGGGACAACCTTTTCGGGGACCTTGTGGCGGCAGTGGTGGCAGGTGTTCTCTACAACGTGACATACGACGTCGTGTTGGATACTCTTCGCAGCTCCAGGGGTATCCAGGAGAGAATGCTGGGCATGCCAGAGGCTCCTTTACGCGTCTGTGTATGTTGGGTGTCATATGGCTGTGGGTCAAAGCCAATGGTACAATTTTGGGGTAGGTGCACCACCGATTTTAGTCTGTTTTAGTGGGGATTGGGATGTTGAGTGGGGGTAAGAACTTTGACCCATAGCCATATGCAACAGTGCCTGGTGTCCACACGAGGCAAGTCTCCTCGATGTCAAGGGTTTCAATCAGGACATGACGAACATTTGCAGCCGAGCAAACGCTTCCTCAAAATGCACAGGAAAGTATGGCCCTTTCTTCCTTGCCCACAAACGGAGGCATCGCAAGACTACGAACCTAAATAAGTATGAACCTCTGGGGCCGACTGCCAGCCCGCTTGAACTCTGTCCCTGCTTCAGGAGCTGAGGGCGCAGTGCGAGAAGAGCGACCGACTGGACGTGGTGATTTGGATCTGCGCCTTCTCCATCAACCAGCACGCCAGCATTTGCGGGGGCTTCGGCGTCGCGCCTCCAGTAAACGAGGATGCCTGGCGGCTTTATGAGTCTGGGCAGCAGTGGCAGGTTGTGTGTCTGCCCTTCGCAGGGCTCAATTTTTTTTTAAACTTGTAGGTGCCAAAAAAAGAGAAAGCGCAGCTGGCTAGGACTTGAAGCGGCGCGATTCCGTCACCAAGAAGATATACTGCACGTGCAACTGCGGCGCACAAAAGTATTTCAACGATTCCCGGGATGAATGCGAGCTTAACAAGTTCGACGCAATGCTTGGATACTTGGGCAAGCTGCTTGGCATTCCTGTGTTGTATCGCTTGCTGCAACACACTTGTTCCCTCTCCAGTTATCATATTAGCGCCCAGAACAGCAAGGAGAGACACGATGAAGGAAACACTGACAGGGTGTGAATTGTTTGAGGGGTTTGTAACGACCCGCTGGCTCGTTGCACACCACTCGTTACACAACTTCGTTGCACACCTCTTTTGCAGAGCATGCTTTCGCTGAAGAGTCATTGCAGAGGGCTTGCTATTCAGAATGAAAGTTCGAACAGGGGGAAAAACACATTTCTGTGCTACCTCGGTACACGCCTCTTCGCGCCTGCGTTGCATACCTCGTTACAGACCAAACCCCAGCCCGAGCCAGCGGCCCCCCTTTTTGCTGTTGCTTGGCTTGCGTTGAACAGTTGCAAACTTCAAGCTGGAGCTGCGGAGGTGTGTTGCGCATACTGCGCTGTATTATGCCTGGGTACACACCTCGGTACGTAGCCGTCACACGCCTCGTTACAGACAACCCCAGCTCTGGCCAGCGACCCCCCCTTTCCCGTCAAGACTTGGCGTTTGTTGAGCCGTTGCAACTTTCAGGCTGGGAGCTGCGCTTTGCGTACTGCACTTTGCTATGCCTCGTTGCACACCTCGTTGCGTTGCTGTTACATACCTTGGTACAGATCTACTCCCAGTCGGGCCAGCGACCCCTTCTTTTTGCCGTCTCTTGGCTTGCGTTAAACAGTTGCAAACTGCAACCTGGAGCTGCGGCGGTGTGCTTCGCGCGCTGCACGTGGCTGAACAGTTGCGACTTTCAAGCTGGAGCTGCAGCTCGTGTTGTTCTCACACTCGTCAAGCAATGTTTCCCGTCGCACACATGCCCTCAAGCAATTCTCATAGCCAAGTGCTGCTGGTCTTGGAGCAGTCAGACTTGCGTGCCCGTGCCGCACGGGTTTGTGGAGCATGGCATTTCTTTGCAAGCTTGAAAACACCTTGCAATGAAGTTTGCGCAAGAGGGATGTTTTGACGAATGTCGCGAACTAAAGCAGTTGGTGTATCAGCCAATGTCAAGAGGTGCGGCTCATTCATGGAAGGAGCGTTCGGGGCCGTGTGGACAAGTTAGGATTTATTTTCTTGTTTCGGCAAATTCAGGCATCAGCGTGGCTTCTGGCAGATTGTGGCAGTGGATCAGGCTCGTGTGTGGCACATGCGGGGCTTTGCTTGCCATAGTGTGGCAGGCAAAGGACATGCATATCCGGAAGTGTTCGAACAACATCTACCCCGACAGGTCGTCAGGTCATCTTCCAGGGCAAATGGGATGCCCTGCCCGGTCCTCTGCGGTGGCCAAAACGCGAGGTCCGGATCTTGTTTTGGAGGTCTCTTCCTTCCACTTCATTCATCTCCGTCCATACTCACGCGAGACTGGTTTCTGCTTGGTTGCCCGGTTGATGTGAGATGATTCTCTGTCACTCAGGTGAACCGACCAACCAACCAACCAACCCACCCACCCAGCCAGCCAGCCAGCCAGCCAAACCAACCAACCAACCAACCAAACAACCAACCCACCCACCCACCCACCCACCCACCCAACCAACCAACCAACCAACCAACCAACCAACCAACCACACTTCTGAGCCAAGAAGCGCCTAAAAACAGAAAAACGGACGAGAGGCGCAGGATGCGCTGGCTCAAGCAGAGCAAGCAAAGCCTCCTAGCTCGCAACCACACCTCTCACCCGCCAACCGCCCGCCCCACTGACCAACCAAGCCAAACAGAGCAAGGTTACAAGTTACAACCTTTCTTATGACCCCATTGATTTTGCTCGTTCCTGAAAGCTGCAAAGCATGTGTCCCGCCATTTTTGCAGGCATCTTTCTACACTCCGCAATCTTACATGACCTGCGAATCACAGGACATCGTACGGGTTCTCTCGAATTTGCAAGGTGACTAGCACTGACCAAGCTGCTGTGTGTGTGTGTGTGTGTGTGTGTGTGTGTTTCTTGAGGGCGCAGGGACATTTGGGAAGCGCCCGAACCCCCGTTCCATTGGTCGTTTTAGTAGGTGGTTCTACTCCCTGGTATATAAATATATATTATATACACGCATATACATACATATGTAGTAAGAACCCCCCCCCCCCCCAAACCTCGGAAGTTTGCCTTCGGGCAGCAAGAAAACCAACCCTGAAACAAATTCTGGGGTCGTAAGTCTTACGTGCGGTAGGCAAAAACCAAGCAACCAACCCACCGACCCACCGACCCACCAACCAACCAACCAAACCAACCAAGCAACCAACGGCTCCGAGTGACGGGCGGAGGCACTGCAGATCTTCTCGCGGGCCTGGTGCGTGGCAGAACTGGTGGAGGCCCGGCGCTTGGCACTCAAGCAGCGCCTGGTCGCCGCTGGGCCACAACCTGGAGGGCGGAGGGAACAGATGTGAGACGCCTCAAAAGGATATTTTTGGGGGTTGTGGGATGTTGAGTCGCCTCAAAAGGAGATGTTTTGGGATGTTTTGGGGGGTTTATGGCTTCAAAAGGAGATTCGGGGTCTTTTTTTTTGTGTGGGGTTTCTGGGGATGTTTTGAACTGTCTATGGGTGTTTTGTAAGGGTTTGTTTTCGCGTTGTTGGGGTTGATGGTTGTATGGCTGAGGTTGATAGACTTGTTTGCTCATCTAGGTTTGCTTGTTCAAAACTAATGCCCAATGATTAGCGGATTGCGGATCATGCGGTTTACGGAATAGAGTTTGCGGATTACAGATGATGGGTCACATAGATTTCCCATGCTCCAACATACGAGTGTTGACGCACTATTTGCAGCGGAGATGACGGATAAAGTAGAACGGGGATTAAGCGGGATACGGATTGTGATTAGGGCCGGGCACGGTGCCCGTGTGTCCGAATCAGAAAGGTCCGGAGTCCCGAGCGTTGCCAATGGCGCTTAGGTCCACAGCAAGGACTCGGTGTCCGGCAAGAAGACCTCGCCGCTGAAGAATATCCGCGTGCAGGACTGCAAAGCCTCTAGGCCCGAGGATGTGGATGAGATCCTCGCAAAGATCGAGGACAAGGCCGGGGTTTGAAACAAAGAAAACAAGCACGCAAAAATACATGGCAGGCATGTTCAGCTGAACGCGAGGCATCGCGAGGCTTTGGGAAGATATCTTGAAAAGTTGTGTGAGACTGACGGATCTTCTGGAGGATCGATTCAATGAGGAGCTGAAAAGGGCCCTCTTCACCGACAACGACAGCCTGTTCCAGCAGTTTTTCCGCAGCACCGGAGAATTGGCACATGCAGACTTGCAGAGCGCATTTCTGGACGCCATCGCATAGCGCTGCTAGCGCTTCTTCGTTGGGAGCATCGCGGCAGGGTAAGACAGCACAAGAGGCATCGAGTCCAACAAGGATTCTGCGACAGACTCTGCGCAAAAAAAGGCGCAAGCGCTGACCACCATTTTGAGGGCTCCCCCCCAAAAAAGAAGAACCTGGGTTGTGCAGAATGGCCTGGTTGCCAGGTTGTTGTCTCGTACCGAGCAGACGATGACGATGGCGAGGAGCGAGCCGTGCTGTCCGAGCCATGATTCGATGCTACACATCAATATGAGTATGAATATTGACAGGGGACCCTTCGGTGGACATGACTTGTCCCCATTGAAATTCATAGCCATACAATGCTTGCATCCCTTGCCTTTCGCAAACAAACTTAGCCGCTTGGTTATCGCACAGCTTGAGCACAAATTCATCCCGCACTGCAAACTTTAGAGCCTCCGGCTCAGTCCGCCGACATTGTCCTCTCCCTTTTCTCCTTCTTCCTCTCTTCCTTGTCTCCCTTGTGTGTTCTGTCGTCCTCTCTCCCTCCCTCTGCTCCCATCCTCCCCATCCCCCCAAGCCTCTCTCTCCCCAATCTCCCTCTCTCGTATGTATGCATGCATGTACATAAGTATGTATGTATGCATGCATGTATGTATGTATGTATGTATGTATGTATGTATGTATGTAAGCAAGTAAGTAAGTAAGTACGTAAGTAATGTATGTATGTATGTAATGTAATGTAATGTAATGTAATGTAATGTAATGTAATGTAATGTAATGTAATGTAATGTAATGTAATGTAATGTAATGTAATGTAATGTAATGTAATGTAATGTAATGTAATGTAATGTAATGTAATGTAATGTAATGTAATGTAATGTAATGTAATGTAATGTAATGTAATGTATGTATGTATGTATGTATGTATGTATGTATGTATGTATGTATGTATGTATGTATGTATGTATGTATGTATGTATGTATGTATGTATGTATGTATGTATGTATGTATGTATGTATGTATGTATGTATGTATGTATGTATGTATGTATGTATGTATGTATGTATGTATGTATGTATGTATGTATGTATGTATGTATGTATGTATGTATGTATGTATGTATGTATGTATGTATGTATGTATGTATGTATGTATGTATGTATGTATGTATGTATGTATGTATGTATGTATGTATGTATGTATGTATGTATGTATGTATGTATGTATGTATGTATGTATGTATGTATGTATGTATGTATGTATGTATGTATGTATGTATGTATGTATGTATGTATGTATGTATGTATGTATGTATGTATGTATGTATGTATGTATGTATGTATGTATGTATGTATGTATGTATGTATGTATGTATGTATGTATGTATGTATGTATGTATGTATGTATGTATGTATGTATGTATGTATGTATGTATGTATGTATGTATGTATGTATGTATGTATGTAATGTATGTATGTATGTATGTATGTATGTATGTATGTATGTATGTATGTATGTATGTATGTATGTATGTATGTATGTATGTATGTATGTATGTAATGTATGTATGTATGTATGTATGTATGTATGTATGTATGTATGTATGTATGTATGTATGTATGTATGTATGTATGTATGTATGTATGTATGTATGTATGTATGTATGTATGTATGTATGTATGTATGTATGTATGTATGTATGTATGTAATGTATGTATGTATGTATGTATGTATGTATGTATGTATGTATGTAATGTAATGTAATGTAATGTAATGTAATGTAATGTAATGTAATGTAATGTAATGTAATGTAATGTAATGTAATGTAATGTAATGTAATGTAATGTAATGTAATGTAATGTAATGTAATGTAATGTAATGTATGTATGTATGTATGTATGTATGTATGTATGTATGTATGTATGTATGTATGTATGTATGTATGTATGTATGTATGTATGTATGTATGTATGTATGTATGTATGTATGTATGTATGTATGTATGTATGTATGTATGTATGTATGTATGTATGTATGTATGTATGTATGTATGTATGTATGTATGTATGTATGTATGTATGTATGTATGTATGTATGTATGTATGTATGTATGTATGTATGTATGTGTATGTATGTATGTATGTATGTATGTATGTATGTATGTATGTATGTATGTATGTATGTATGTATGTAATGTATGTATGTATGTATGTATGTATGTATGTATGTATGTATGTATGTATGTATGTATGTATGTATGTATGTATGTATGTATGTATGTATGTATGTATGTATGTATGTATGTATGTATGTATGTATGTATGTATGTATGTATGTATGTATGTATGTATGTATGTATGTGTATGTATGTATGTATGTATGTATGTATGTATGTATGTATGTATGTATGTATGTATGTATGTATGTATGTATGTATGTATGTATGTATGTATGTATGTATGTATGTATGTATGTAGGTAGGTATGTATGTAATGCATGTATGCATGTATGCATGTATGTATGCATGCATGTATGTATGTATGCATGCATTCATGCATGTATGTATGTATTTCCCGCAAAAAACACGGTTTTTCCAGCGTTTTCGCAAAGAGGACGTCCAAAAACATTGAGTTTTTCCAGATTTTCGGCAAAAGGATGCAGGAAGCCCAAGCCAGCAAAAAAGCCGGCAGGGGGAATCGAGCCTGGGACCCCTGTTTTGCGACACCGGCTCCCCGAAGACTACGTTTAGTGGAACGTCATCAAATTGCCGCGCGGTACGTGGGGGACCCCCCCCCCCCCCAAAAAAAACCTACGTAATAGACGTCGGGCGGGGGGGGGGGGTTAGGGGGGGGGGTTATCCTCTATCCTCTAGTAAGTATCCGACACGCCGAGCAATGTCGGCGGATTTTACGGGAGCCTTTTCAAGCGTGTGGTGGTTGCTGTCAAGCCTTGCCTGGAGGTGCCTGCTTGTCACACCATTTGCCAGGCACCCGGGCCCATAGAGCAGCTGACGCGCGACCCAAAGGCACAGCAGTTTGGAGCCCAAATGTCTGATCTTGGAGTCCTGGAATCCGTGCCTCCTTTGTCTTAATTGCTTTGACCTACGCTGGACCTGCGCCCTGCGCTTTCCCGTGGTTCAATTTTTTCTAGGCAAGACTCTTCAGGGGCTCTCAAAGAGCATGTTGCTGCTGCCCAATACCGTTCAGCCTGAGCACTTGTCCTTCAGATTGAGAATAATGCACAACACGCGCACACACATGTTGTTCGGATAGCAAAAGGAGGCACTCCAAGGTGTGCTTGAGGCAAGAGCCGAGAGCCCTTGTCAGCTATTTGATGTGGCATTGTACAACGGGAAGCCTCTGCTGGAACGTCGTGGTGGCGCATGGTACGTTTCCTGGCAATCCTCCCTTGACACTAGCCCCAAAAGTGCTTACAACAGTCAGCTGACATACTTATGTTTTTCTCAGGAGAGAAAATATGTCTTGATCGTATTTCAGCGGGTTTCTAAAGGCACTTTCAAGGTTCATAAAGCCGGACATGGTCAGGTGATGGCCGCGCCAAAGAAAGTGCCGCTGGCAACATGTGATGAGGCCGAAGAGGCGCATGGAAAGATGTTGTGGCGCACTGAATGGCGCCTTAGGTTCAGTCGGAACTTGGCGTCTACCTGCCTGAGTGTTTGGTTGCCAGTCTGCCTTTTCGCTTATTGCAGTCCCTCACATATTGAAGCTGCTTGAGCGTGCAAAGTGAGAGATGGCTACCGGCTGCCTGCTGTGCATCCCAAATGGTGACTGGCATGTGGCTTGCGCAAAAGATGCGAGACTTCTATGGCCATGGGTCATAGCCTATGCCTCCATTTTGGGCCCATGTACCACCTATTTTGAGTTCACCAGGGGTACCGGGTTTTAACCCACAGCCCTTTGTCACTTGGCATCAAGGACTGCCAGCTAAGACCCCAACAGTGTTGAGGAGTGAGTTGCAGAATTGATGCTTCGCCCAAGCAGGATTGCCGACTCTACAACTGAGGAGCTTGACATGACATTGGTTTTGGTGAATCAAGCTAACGCTTGTGGGACGAAGGTGCTAACTCCTAACTTCCTGACGAGGTGGGTATGGAGGCAGAAGTGGAGTCGGTGGCAGAGGACCCGGAAGAGGTGCGGGAAGATGGCCGGCACAAGAGCACCATCCTCCTTGAATCTGTCGGTATTGGCGTTGTGCCAATGTGCTCGTACCCGATCATCAGCTCACAAGCAGAATCCCGGTGTTTTGCGCCTGAACTGCCGTCGTTCCTTGCAAAACGCTGGGAATTCCCACGGCCATTGCTTCGGTTTGAGCCTGTCAGGATGTCCAGGAGGTGGTGGAGATAGCCAGGAAGCCTCTCCAGGTGGGGAAACTCCCAAAGACTTGAGCTGAACTCCTACCGCATGCCCCGAAGAATCCCACTGCAGTCAATCCAGCAGGAGGATTCACCAGCAACACCAGCGTGTTGGCCCGAATGTGTTTCAGCTCCCTTCAAAGTTCCCATGGGTCTCTCATTTGTTGGGGACCCTCAAAATGGTGGGGTTCCTTCAAAAAGGGACCCTGAAAAACAGACAGACCCATATTTCCCCGTGTTCCCTTACTCACTTCCTGAGTTCATGAACTTTAAACTTTTTGGGAAGACCATTTTAGTAGTAAATATAAAGCTTGGACTTTTTTTGGGCCATCCACTCAGCCAGTGAGCTTAAGACATGACCCCAGCCCCGGAAACTCCCCTGGTGCACCCAGCATTTCCTCAAGCGCAGGGCCGGCCTCCGGCAGGACCGGCAGGCGGCGTTTCGGGCCGGCGGATGGGACGTGCAGGGGCTGCGGCGCAAATAACGCCGACTTAAATCGCGCTGCCTGGTGCACCCCGAGGGTTTGGGTCGCTGGGAGACTGTCCCATTGAGACCCGTTCAGAAACATAAATTGATACATGGCTGTGGCTCAAAAAACTGTTACCAAAACGGCACCTTGGTAAAGGGAACCAAAGACTAAAACCTGCGGAACCCTAGGTCTTGAATTTTGAGCCACACCCAATGGCAGGCAACTGGTCGCGGCTGAACGCGAGTCTTCGATGTCATTCGAAGCCAAAAGTCTTTACAATAATCGAGCCCGACATGACTCGGCCTGCTTTTGACGGTCTGTGTTGGCGAAAGCGGCCAACCCGCCAGCTTTTTCAAGAAACTTTGTTTCCGCTTACCAAAAGTTGATGTCGCTCTGGTCCGTAGGCTAAAGTGATGGGCACCCGCAGCATCACCACTGCCTTAGTTTTCGGAATGTTTTTCTCCGCTTACTAAAAGTAGATGTCACGGTGTCCAAACCCCACTGTTGAAAGTCGCTACACGGCATCAAAGTTTTTCACACAATGAAATCTGCTTCTCCTTTGGCCATTCAAGCAGGTGCAGGAATAAACACATGAAGAACAGCTTTCCTTTGGCCAGCTTGAACAGCTGGTTTTCGAGATCTTTTTTTTGTAACACACGAATCGAACTGGAGAGGATTCTGCCCCCCTCACCTTGCCGCACATCTGGGGGTTGATCAATACTTTTGGTTTGTCAAATTTGACCATGCACGCAACCTTTCCCATGTAGTGGTTGAAGTATCTCGTTGTTTCTCGTGTTTTTAAACCAATGGCCTTCCCCCAAATTCAGAACTTCGTTTTTGCGGGAAACAAACTCGTTGGGTGAATCCGAGTCAATCCACTGAGGAACGGGGAGGACATGTGCGTGCCGTGTGGCTGGTCAAAACCAATGGGATCCCATTTTGGTTGGTAGGTGAATTCACCACCCATTTTAGGTTTCCTATTTTAGTGGTTGGATTGAATCGGATGTTCGGCTACCCGATTTGGATTTTGAAAAGACCATGGCCAAATATCAGTTGATGGGTCAATTTGTTAGGGACAATCAGTTGAGACTCACATGGAGCTTCCCACCAAGGGGACTCACTAGCTCGTCCATGTGGCCATGGGTCAAAAGCCCGTACCCCCAGTGAACATCCGATTCAATCCAACCACTAAAATAGGAAACCTAAAATGGGTGGTGAATTCACCTACCAACCAAAATGGGATCCCATTGGTTTTGACCACCACAGCCATGTCCTTTACCATTGCCAGGCAAGGAGCTGAAGGGCCGCGTGCGGAGGTCCAACTCCAGCCGCCGCTCAGGCGCGAGAAGGAAAAATTCCAAATCCACGCGGCACGGAGCGCGGGCGGTTTTTTGGCCGCTCAAGTTCCCGTGGGCCCAGTGGTGCCCAGTTTTCCAATTTTTTTGGGGGGAAGGGTTCCCCTTCAAAGTCAACCAAACAGCAAAAAAAAGATGCCCTTTTCTCTTCCCATGGAAATCCACCGGGCATCCGAGAGTAAGCTTTTCGAGCGCGGAAGGACATAAGGAATAGGTTTTTTCGAACGCTTGAACTACGGGCCTTTTGAAGATGAGTAGAACTTCGGAAAGCCTTTCTCCGGGGTGTGGGGCTTAGGCACGTCGCTGTGTGTCGGTATCTATGTTTAGAGGAGGAGGCACCGGAGACACAAGTCGAGCAAGATGCCCGTCGCGCATGTGGACGTGTTTTCCATTTGTACCGTACCAAGGACATGTTTCCTGCTTGGATCGCCCAGCGACACAAGGTTGAAGGCTAAGCAGATAGGCGGCAGATTTGCAGTCCGAGGTGTGTTTTCCTGGCGTGTTGCATGGTTCGGCTGGCGCAGGGGTGGCGATGTGCTGCCGTTTCGCATGAAACATGTGCCAGGTCCCTACCCGCGGGGGTTGAGCCCCGTTCTCAGAGCCAGCGGTGCAAGCTACAGGTGAGGCGCGTGTTAGGGTCAGAACTACAACACAAGATTACCACACATTGCATATCTGAACATTACCATGACACCCCAACCTAACCGAACCTAACCTTAAATGCATGCGTGCATACACACAAAGTACGCATGTGAGATTGTGTAGATCAACAAAGACCCTGTGTTTTGCCCAGGTCCCTCGACGAAGGATGTGAAAGGCTATCCCGGAAGCTGACAGCAAAGAGTCTGCATGAGTTATGCACCAGACAAGAAAGTCTAAGTCTATTCCGCTAGAATGGAGCAAATATGATGATATGATATCTTGTTTGCAGTGCCAGAATAATTCCTGTCTTGGTTTGAAGCTGCTTTTGCTGATCATGTTTCACAGTCGCTTGCGGCTTTTGCATGCCATGTTTTTCTGCCACAACGGCAAGGTGCATGTCAGGTTGCCTGAAAGAGGCAGCATTTTTAGGTTGGATGTGATGACAAGATGTGGCTAAATCCCAGGCCGCAGCAGGATGTTGTTGCAAGTGTTGCATGTCTACTGTAGTACGGTTGTGATCTTGTCATCGTCTTTGGCACATAGTCAGCGCAGACCTCGCTTACGTCTTCAAGACTGCCGCGGGCTTGATGCTTTTCAATAAGAAAAGATTGCGCATCAAGGCGAGCACGGCCTCTTCCCACCCCCCTGCTAGAATTAGAAGGCCTGGACTGCTGGTCTGGGAGTGTTAAAGAATACCTGACCGCACCATGCCCCTTTGCAAGAGACGTACAGGGCATTGGGACACGTTTGCTTGCTTGACATTGAGGTTTCAGCCGTTTCGTGAGGATTGTAGAGCCCCGTGGCTCTTCAACTCATGAACAATGCTTTGGCTAGAGCTTTGAGCATTGTGGAGTCTCTGCTTCTTGCGTCCGAATCGAGCCGCAGCCTCCCGGTCACACACGTTCTTAGATTCTTGCCCCATGCCAGACACATAAAGTCCGTTTCCACATGGGTGCGGCTCAAAATTGAACACGGCAGGTAACGCAGGTTTTGGTCCATAGTTCTCCATTTTGGAATTCCGGTTTGTTGAGCCAAAGCCACATGCCACCTGTGGAGTTCCACCGCCTCTCCCTGTCAGGACGAGATCCAGATGGGCGGCCGGGACCGAGAGCTCCGGCACGCGGAGAAGGTCTTTGAAAAGGCGACCGTGGAGAGAATTTGCC